CGAAATAAATTTCTGGACCACGCGGCATGGTCTTAAAATCACTCAACTTATTCCACAATACTTGATGAACCCATCCTCTTCTGACACGAAACTGTACTAAACTAATGTTGAAAAGAATGTGTCTACATATTTTTGTCCTTCATATAAAAGTGCTTATATTCAGACTTGTACTATGTTCATTGCAGACAATGTAAAAACAAGGAATTTAGTTTTTTTACTAATAACGCATTTGTTTATGGAACAATAACGTATTAATTCGTTTTCTAAAGGTATTTAGGTAAATATATTTAAAAAACAACACTCCAAAAGGCTGAGGATTGGCATTGCCATTTTTCACCGTCGTATACAGCAAGTACATAGAGATTCGGTAAATTAAAACTATTTTATGTAGTCATGCGATTCATCTTATATCTAATTTTACATTGTAATGTATAAAATTAAGATACCATTGTAAATAATATATAATATTGAAAGGTAAGTTAATAGAGAGAAATTTTTCTCTTGGCTATGGATGTTGTGATTGTCCGTAGGTGGTAGATGGTCTCTGACTGTCGAACGCGGAGGTACCACCCGGCGGTTCTCGTAGGCGGAGCCAGAATGTGTGCATGTTGCATGCACACGTGTTCCCTCGCCAGAGTCCGTGTGGCGTCCCCCCCTTTCCCATGTATCCCCCTATAGCCCCACGGTACCCAATGGGTGCTTAGGCCTTAGGCCTTCGTGGTAGTTGGAGTATAAAAAAATATAAATATATATATAAATAATATTTAGCTTCAGAAGCTTGTAACTGGAGATGCACCTTCTTGAATTCCTTTCTGAAACTACTACTGGAAGTAATTTGGAAAAGTTCTAAATATTTATTCAACAAACAAGGTGCTGTGTAAGTGAAAGCTTTTTTGAACGTAGATGTTAGATGGCCTGGGATATTATAACAACTATCATTTCTCTAAAATATTATACAGATAATTTGGGGATTTATATCTTAAAACTTTATATAATAGAGCACCATAAAAAAGCAATGAACGGTAGTTATATTTTAAAATGTCTTCTCTCACATAGTAGCCAGTGATGTCTACCTATATCATTATAACAAAATCGTATACAACGATTCTGTAAAACCTGATTTTTTTTGTTTTATTTCCTCTGTAAGGAAGTTGTAATAGACTGTGACATCATAATCCAAATGTGTAATGATTAACGGGTTTACAAGCATTAATTTAATATCGCATGCCAGTATGTGTTTATATTTCCAAAGCGGTTTATATTTATAATAGCACAATTTGAGTTTATTCATAACATGACATTCAAAACTTAAATTTGTATCTAATAGTATTCCCAAACTTTTTGTTTTCTCTACAATTTGAATAGTGGTATCATCTAAAAGTATGTTTGCATTCAGTGCTTTTTTGAATTTTGGAACAACTAGTCTAGAACCAATACAACAACCCTTAAGTTTTTGTGGGGTTGAGTCTCGGACAATAATTTTTTGAATATCTTGTTATCAGTTCTAGATTTGTGTTAAGCTCCGATATGAGGGTATTTGCATCATCTGGTTTACATGCCTTATATATTTGTACATCATACAGATATGATGCTCATTTCACTACAGTTTGCTTAGTTTATCAAATCTCAGTATAATGAGGTGAAATTTCTAGACCAACCTCAGCTGAGTGAGATTTGTTGATACTTGCTATTTTGTTTATAGGCGAAATTCACCGAATTCAGATTGTGATGTTTTCAACTTTGCTTAGAGTTATATTCTTGCAGCAGAAATGCATGCATTGTGCTTTTAGCAGTGTGGTATGATGCGCCGTCCTGCTGATAAATACAGTCTCCGTCAGGATACTACTCTACTGTGGTAGGTAATAATGAATGCTCAAGGATTTTTTTGTATTTAGCTGCATTCACTGTGTCATCTATAAAATGAAGACGTCCCATTCCAGCTGCAGATATATAGCCCCACACCATAATACCTTTGAGAAATCTAGCTTACTATACGTTTAATACAATCATTGTGAAAGATTTCAGTTTTGCTTCTGATAAACTTTTTCGGTGATCGCGTATGCATACATCGAATTTGGCTTCGTCACTAAATATGACCTTGCTCCAGTGCTCGTACATCCAAGAGCGCTTTGATTTTGCCCAAATTAAGCGTCTTTGTTTTTGGACTTCAGTTAGAAGCTTCTTTAGCCTAATTAAGGAAAAATACATTTTTTCATTGATTTTGAATGATAATATAATGCCTATCTTATAAAATTTGAGTCCAGATTTACGACTGTATTTTCGACAGCATCTCGTGAAAGCTGCATCCCACACTTTGTGTTCCACTGAATGGTAATTTAAAGTTCTTCGATTCCGTTCAGTGACAATCCTCGATCGGCCTAGTTTCCCTATACTTTATTTACAATGTCCGAAACTGCACATTTAGAGATAAGAAGATCACTTGATATTTCGCGTATTGACTTTCCTTTGCAAAACTGCTGAATTATAATTTGCCTCACTTTCTGAAGAGTGGCTACACCTCGTACCATTTTTGCATACAAGAGAATATAATTTCCAAATATCTACAATTTCCAACGATGTTGACATTCAGTATCGTGACACAGGTAAGCGCTCATATGCTTTTACAAAGCCGGCTAGTCTCTGCTTATCTCTAATGATATGTTTCATAACTTATCCGTACATCATATTTCGAGATATTCCAGTAATTCTGTTTGTTTCAAAGTAATGCATTTGAAAACAGAGGTGCCGCTGTTGAAAATGAATGTTTATTATACTTATCTGCCATAATACGAGCCCCTTCCCACTTCAGTTGGTCCAACTATTGAAATCTTAGTTTTTTCTTATCAAACACAAATAATAAAAATCGAGCAGGGTGTTATAGGTTTAACATATTAACAATGAATATTTTGATAATATATGGTAGAAAACACCAACTTTATCACTCTCTAATCAAATTTGCAGCATAAAAATAACACATGTTGCAATTACAGCATATCAACATATTTTCATTTCAATGCAAAATAAGTCTATAACGCATAGGTGGCTGTGAAAAATAAAAGCCATGACAATTGTTTTTATTAATCACAGCTGTCAGAATACGTTTAAAATAGTTTTGGGTAGTTAAGCTTTTCAAAATGGGTAGAGGAAAGGTTATTAGTGAGAAAATTCGGTTACTGATAATTAATTTTTTTAATTCTGGGAAATCAAACTCAGAAATTACAACTTTGTTAGACTTATCGCGATACAGTGTGAGAAATATTGTTAGAAGATATAACGTAAATGGTTCAGTTAAATTAAGCCACGATATGTGAAAAAAAGTAATATCACAGATGCCGACCGAAGAGCATTAAGAAGAATAATCGTGAAAAACAGGCGTGCCAATTATTTATAATTAAGTGCTCTGTGGAGTCACGCTGTTGGAAGAAGAATTTCGAGGTCCACAACTCATCAAGAGGCCCACAAACTGGGATTTAGCACTTGCAAGGTTAGTTGTCTTATAAAAAAAAGTGAAGTCAAAACCTTAAAGTTGCACAACTTGTTTATAGGCCAAAGAACTCCACTGCAAAAGAGAAATCGGCTTAGATGGGCTAAAGAACATAGACAATGGACACCTCAACAATGGTGTGCAATATATAATGGAGTGATGAGGCCCGATTCGAAGTTTGTGTTGGTGACAGTCGCAGTAGAGTTATTCGCAAAAAAATGAAACATTCCATGTTGACTGTCTGAAGAGAAAAGTGAAATTTCCAGCATCCATTATGGTCTGGGGCAGTATGTCATCAAAATGAGTAGGAAAACTTCATTTTATTGATTTACAAACAAATATTTGGCAATTTTAGAAGAATCGCTTTCACCAGTGATGGAAGGATGTTTGACACCCGGCCAAGATTTTGTGTTTCAGCAAGATGGTGCAGCGTGCCATACCTCAAAAAAGGCTATAAAATGGATGGAAGAAAATAATGTACCACTTTTGAAATGGGTTTCTAGCAGTCCAGATCTGTCACCTATTGAAACTTTGTGGCACGAGATGAAAAAGTTTCTACGACAACATCCTGCTCGTACAATCACCGAACTGAGACAAAAGCTTCAAGAAATATGGGATTGCTTTACACCAAATTTTTGCCAAAACTTGGTTAACACTATGCCCCAAAGAATTTCGGCCGTAATAAGAAATTAAGGTGATGTTACCCAATGGTAATCTTTCAATTGTTGCTTTGTTAACTTCGCGCATTTATTCGCGCATTGTTTATTTGTTCAGATGTTCTATTAGTTATAGGTCTAAGTGCTTTTCAAATATGTATTTTTTACGACTAGAGTGTATCTAAAATGTTTTTGAGAAAATAAATTGTTTTAGAAGTAAATAGTTTCGTCATGTTCAGTTTATAAAGGCATATTTTGGTACAAATCATGAAATGGCCCACCTGAAGTGGGAAGGGGCTCGTACATGTTTGCCATACATTTTGAGAAAGCAGAAGTAAATATAGGGATCCGTACAAAATGTAAAGGTGTCCGAATAGTTAATTGTTTGGGCTCGTAATGAGTCTGTCTGGACGTCCGAACGTGCAGCCGTGCTAACTCAAAAAGTATCGCTTGAATTTTAATGAACAACGGCGCAGTGTTGCCATATCTCACCTCTCGTCGTTCATTGTGCCTGGAGATCTCTCGGAACCGTTTCATCAAAATTAATTCAGCCGTTTTGGAGTGAAAACGGAACATACATACATTCCAACTACAGTTCCTTGCCATATTATTGGACTCATGCTTAAAAATGTAGTATTCCTGGCTTATAACACGCCGGTAGACATTCACAAAGCTTATCCATGATGAAATATCAAAATTTACAACAAATGTCACATAGAAAATTAGAAATTTACATGAAAATGGAATCTTTTCACATGAAAATACATTTTTTTGCAAAAATCAGTATTTTGTATGACCACCTTTCGCAGCCAACACAGCTTCAACGCGACGTGGCATACTGCTTATACAGTTTTGAATTTTTATTTTGAGCTCTGGTTATGTTTCCAAGTGTCATTAAGTATATTGATCAACTCTTGCTTGGTTGTAGGGGCTTTCATCGTAACCTCAGATTTCAAAAACTCCCAGACGTTCTCGATGGGGTTCATGTCAGGCGAATTTCCTGGCCAGTCGAGAATATCTACTTTTTTTTCAGCTAAAATTTTTGTTATTTTTTGTGCACGATAGCAAGGCGCACCATCATGCATAAAAATTGCCTTTTCTCGTTTGTTGAACCATTTTTTCACTTGAGGGAGCAGCTGGGTTTCCAAAACATCCTGATATTTTTCGGCATTCACTGTACAATCGACAACGTATAAGGCCCCTTGTCCCTTATAACTGATAACTGACCATACCATTACCGAAGGAGGATGTTTAATGGTCGGCACAATGCATTCTGGCTTATATTTCTCATTTGCCCTTCGCCGTACAAACTGCGATTTGTCGACCAATACTTGGAAAATCGACTCGTCCGAAAAACATACCTGAAAAACATCATAGAATTTAGATTAAACAATATCTACAGTACAAGAACGACTTGAATATAGTTATATAGCATTCATTTACGTTCTTCCAGTTATCAGTCGTGAATTTTCGTGCTCATTGGTATCGCTTTGATATCATAGCAGGTGCTGGTCTACGTCCAATAAGACCCTCTTTTGCTAACCTCCGCTGCACTGTTCTTTGCGAAACTTCAATGCCAATTTTTATCGGCAGTTTTCGATTTTCAACACAAATATTGCGAATTTTTCGGTCACTTCTCTCTGTCGTGATTCTTCGACGACCGCACGCACCTTTACGTTTGGCTCTCAGATTTTCACCGAGGTCTATTTTTTGTTTAATTCGTTTTACAGAACTTTGAGAAACTCCAACAATTCGCACTATTTGGTATTGTGACATGTTTCGTGCTTCCAGCGTGCCGGAAATTCGACCAACTTTTATTGGCGACAAGTCAGACAGTTTTCCCATTCTGAAATTGTTTTTTATCCTAATATGGCCTCAAAACGTGTAAATATATACGTTGACATGTTGTTGTGTCAACAATAAACCCACCTGATGAAATGGAAAAGAGTTAACGCTATTGACACACTTTAAATTGTTGAATTGCACTGTGAGAACTGAAACTCTGTTTTTTAGGTTATATATCTTTTTCGTGACAATCGATGTGTTGCCAAAACGATAAAAGTGCCCGCGATATTTAAAAACTCAAGTTCTACCAACATATCTGCAAAAAGTTCATAATAACAACAAGAAATATAAAGTAAAAGTAGATTTGCAGCATGAGCCTAATAATATGGCAAGGGACTGTATAGCCCAAATCTAGAAGCCCGTCCCTGACTGCTTCAGACAATGGAGTTCGCCGCCGCGGTCCGCCGGTCGGCCTGCCGAGTGGGGGTGGAAGAGTGGAGGGCCCTTTAATGCCCTTCGATCAATTGCAATCTAATCCGAAGCCCTTCAAAAGCAATCGCCGGAATCTCAAAAAGCAATTGAATCCGTTGGCCAATGCCGCCGTTAGTATATAGAGGAGAATTAATCGGATATCGAATCCTTTCGCTCTCTGGGTGAGGCTCTTTAATTAACCGTTTCTAGACGCTTCTCCTGCTGCTCTTAATGGCTGGATAGGTTTGCGTTAGGCGCCAAAGGTACGGGAGGTCCTGTTTAAAAAGGTGTACGGGGTGTTTCAGATAGGGTTCGTCCTGAACGAGTCCTTCTGAAGGAGCAATAATACAGTAGGAATCGATTACGTTGGTTTTGATTCCGATTGCGATGCCTTAGATTCCTTCTACGAAGGTTTTGATTCAGGCTTCTATGATTGGGATTTCAAATCCTTGAAAACGAGTCAAATCTGACTTAGACGAATTATTTGAAAGGAACAATCCTGCTCGAAGTTCTAAATGGTAGATAGTCTGATAGATTTTTGTAATCTATTGCTTCCTTTAGCTGTGGTTTTGTTAATGATGGGGGTAATTTTATTATGTTTTCATCAGTATCGGCTTAAAATGTAGAAGTTCTGCTTTTTGGCTGTTGTGTACTACGAGTATGTCAAGGATCGTTTACCTGCATAAAATTTTAAACAAACGTGTTGTCATGGCGATAATGTCGCAAGAAGAGTAAAAGATAGACGAGTAAAATGCTGTAAAACACATTGTCGGCATATAAGTCAATCATATATCTAGCAGAAACATGATAATGTTAAAAACTCACTAACTAAACCAAATAAGAAGAAGCTGTTTCGGTATCTAAGAACAAACCTGAATTCCAAAGTTTCATCACCTCAGATCCGCGACGCTGACGGTCATCTCCACATGGATGCCACCGAATCTGCCAACTTACTGGCAGAGTCCTTTAGTGATGACTTCGTTGATGAGCCTAATGTAGACCTTCTACCGACCACTATCTGCCATAGGTGTCCCAACAGCCTTTGCGAAGTTGAGTTCCTGCCTGAAGATGTATTAATGCACCTGCGAAATCTGAAGACCTCTTCCTCCCCTGGTAAAGATGGGATGACGGCTGCTGTACTTAAAAACTGCGCTTCAGCACTGGCTCTACCATTAAGCTTGATATTCACATCGTCTTTTAGGTCTCATACCCTACCCTCATGCTGGCTTAGTGCTTCTGTTACCCCTGTATTCAAAAAGGGCGACAAATCATCCGCTAAAAATTATCGACCAATAAGTCTCATTCCTATCGCCGCCAAAATAGCTGAAGGAATCATATTAGATAAGCTCCTGTCATTTGCTTTCGAAAATGACCTTATCCCTAAGAATCAGCATGGATTTCTCCCTGGTCGATCAATAATGACCAACCTTCTCCACTCTCTCAACGATTGGACTCAGTATCTGGACACAAAGACTCCTGTTGATATAATCTACTTAGATTTTTCTAGGGCTTTCGATCGCGTACCACATAGAAGGCTTCTGTTTAAGTTGGAATGTATGGGAATAAGAGGCGAGTTGTTGCTGTGGATTAAAGCTTTTCTCACCGGGAGGACTTGCTCTGTGCGCGTCAGTGATAGCCAGTCTCACCTTCATCATGTAGCAAGTGGAGTTCCTCAAGGCTCTGTCTGGGACCAGTGCTGTTCCTTCTGTATAGAAGTGACCTGCCCGCATTGATTTCCTCCACATGTTCAGCTTATGCCGACGACACCAAGATTTACAATACTGTCGTAAATTCTGCTATGCTTCAATGAGATCTTGATATTGTTTGTCAATGGTCAGTCAGTTGCGCGATTTACATACAAGATCTCTGACCACAACATCGAAGCAGTTTCCAGCCACACTGATCTGGGCGTTGTAGTCAACGATCGTCTTTTCTGGTCAGAGCATATTCACCACGTTACATCAAAAGCCAAGAAACTTCTATACATGCTGGAGAGGTCTTTCAAAGGATCCGATGTCAACACTTGCGCCTACATTTACAAGGCATTCGTGAGGCCAGTTCTTGAATTCGCTGGCCCGGTATGGGACACTGTGCTTCTGCGCGATAGAAATCTCGTCGAATCAGTACAGCGTCGGGCTACTCGTATCCCTTTTGGAGCACGAAGACCAAGCTATGAAGATCGCCTTGAATTATTCAACCTGACCTCATTGTCTGAGCGAAAACTTCGTGGCGATCTTATAGTTACGTTCAGGATACTTCATGGTTTGATGGGCACCAACCTCATGCATCTATACCGTCTGTCGCGCAGCAATATACGCGGACACAGCTTCAAACTGCATAAGGAGCCATTTAAAACAACAGTCCGACAGTGGTTTCTTCCCAACCGCATATTCAACACCTGGAATAGTTTACCTGAAAGTGTGGTTGGTGCCACTTCAGTTAATAGCTTCAAAGTGCACTATGATAGCTGGAGGAGTGTACAAACTTTATAGCTATGAACTGTCTTTTTTATTTTTTTCTATTTGATGTATTTGTGTTACGTGTCCGTACACTATATTTACTGCATGAGCTTATAGTACTGTGTACTCTGCTCATCTCAGTTATCATAATAATAATAATAAACGACACATTCCTGCTAACAACATAATATGATATAATAACAAAAAAAAATGGCGTCAAGCGTTTTTTTTTTTTTCGTTTTTGACCTTTTTCTCAGTTGCCACGCGCACGGTTTTCAAAAACTACAAAGCGCTTTTTCGTCCTTTGTCAAGTAGTCACATTTGATCAAAATCGGAGTGGTACTTATCTTGTTATAGGTAGGATTAGCAGACAAACAGACGAACAGACGGAAAGAGTGATGTAACACACAAAAAAATAATATCTCATTTTCAAGAGTTTTCGCGATTACAATACATCCCTACCAGTAGGCGAGAGAAGTAAATAACATATTTTATTTTTAAAACATAAATTGTATTGCCTCAAAGTAAAATCACTAGAGACAGATTTAACATTGGTTATATCTTACAACTATGAAGCTTAAAAACATAACTTTCGAGTCGTTACTGGTCGTTAAATTTGCTATTCTTTTTGTTAATATAATTTCAGTTTTGGAAAATAGTTTTTCGCAAGGAACGGAACTTCCAACAATGTATAGAGCCTTTTTTATTTCATTAAGATATGGCTAGTGAGCTAGAGTCTGGAGAGACTGGATTCCCGGTTGTATCTAAAGCACACCAACGACCTTTGTGTCAGCATCGACGTTTTAGGTAATGCACTCTTTCACCACAACTTTCAACGTCGCAGCCTGTGGTGTATCTAAAGGAATCGACGTCGTGAAGGAATCGAATAAATTGATTCCAAAGCCGGAATCGAAGCTATGGAGTCGCATCAACAAGAGATTCAGGTAGTTGACCAGTTTGAATTCCTATCTTTCTCTTCCTCAGTCTATCATCATTCAAAAAGTCCTGGTGATATCACCACGGTTTGAGCCCATGTCTCTATATTACTTGTTTGTAAATCACAATAAATAGTCCAAAAATACATACATCCTATAAAATATGTTCTATGAAGGTAAAGGTCTGTTTCTATGTAGCGTCTTTAAATTGGAACCAGATGTTGCCCGCCAGGGCGTTACGTGAAATTTCTCAAAGATCAAGAACCCAAAATAAGCTATCCCTACAATGCATACTGGCACAAATGCCAATCAGACATCGTATCAATACTCAAAAAAAGTTGTCTGAAAGTGTCCAAATACGAGTATTGTTTAGCAATTACTCATTTACACATTCTCTAAAGCTAGGGCTTTCTTAAACCTTCTACCTTGTCACATTGTCAACCACCATACCCTAATGTTTTTTCCATGTTACAAATAGTTCTGAAATCATGTAAAATACTACACGCAAATCAAAACAGGTGCTGTAGGAATTGCCACAAAGAATCAAGAAAAATAAAGCACAACACTATTCCTGATACACAGCTACAGTTAATTTCAACTCACTAATTTGTCCTCGTACACGATCAAAAGCGCATTCATCATTCAGCTGAAATTGTACTCCCGATTGATGTTTTCCATGAAAAAATGAAAACCGCGCTAGCACTTTTGCGA